CTGAAACAAAACTGCTGAGCCATTGCTTCCTGGCTGAGCTAGCCTCAGGTGCCAGTGTCCTTTCTTTCCCAGCTAGCTTTTTCACCCTGGGTGTCAGCAGCGTCCTTTCTAACTGTTTCTCTCCCCGGAGAGCTGTCAGAGTACTTGGCCGGCCTCTTTCCCACAAACCATTCTGGTTTTCAAAATCCACTGACATAATGAGTAGAGCTTAGATCAGAAGCCACCATTTGGGTAATTAAACCTCAAGACCTCATTTGTATTAGATTAGAAGGTGATACAACCTATTCACTTAATGAAGGAGAACAGCTACCATTCAGTGCTTAGAAATATACAAGGAACGTCGGCCCCTGCTGCAGCGTGGAGGGCACTGTGGTACCGGGTAGGAGAGGTTTCTCTGGCAGTGCATTGTCTTTGCAACCTATAAAGCCCTGGGTTCTGGCAACAATTCCCATCTGCCTAAAGGCAGTGCCAGGTAGCAGCCAGGACAACTTCCCAGCAGGCTGAAAAAAACATGGCTACCTTGGTCATCTGGGTTTTGAGTGTCGCAGTCCTCTCCAGGTAGTTCCCCCAAAAGAAAACTGTAGGATGTCAGCATGAGTAGTGAGGACAGTGACAAAGAAAATAAAGAGCTGAAGAAATGGCAGACTTGGGAGGAGAAAAGAATGAATGGAGAAGGGTGGAGAGCAAGGGAGAAAACAAATTGCAAAAAAGAAAAACAAAAGGAAAAAAATCCTATTCCTTCTCCTCATAAGAGAACACTTCAAAACAAAAGAAATAGTATGAGAAGAAAAAAGAAAAAGAAAATTGAAAAAGAAAAAGGTCAAGCTGGGCACTGTGACGCATGCCATAATCCCAGCAGCACTCAGGGAGGCAGAGGCAGGTGGATCTCTGTGAGTTCAGAGGCTAGCCTCATCTACAAAGTGAGTCCAGGACAGCCAGGGCTACACAGAGAAACCTGTCTCAAACCACCCCTACACACACCCAAAATGTGGAAAAAATTCTTCCTCTAACTATCCTGAATTTCTTTTGTCCTAAATCAGGAAATCAAAGAATTCTATTTTTAAAATTATTTTCTCTTTCCTTGGAATTGCTATAAAATTACACCTCTTTCATATAGATATTTTTCACATGTTGGGACCCTTATCTTTCCTCTGGCTACATGCAATAAATCTGTCTTGTCACTTGACAGGAGTGCCTCAAGTATAGATATTTGTACATGCAAAGCACTGCATTTGTGTTTCTGTGTGTTTGGCTAGTGTCACTTTGTAAGTTACTTATAAGATGGCTTTTCCACCATCCAATAAAAAAATCTACACAGCAGCTGTGAGTCCTGCCCACCACCTGCCAGGGATGAAGTTCAGTCTGTGGTAAAATCTCCAGGCTTAAAAAAATTCATTGAAGATAAAACTGCTTTACTGAGTTTTTAAATGAATGAGATCTACAGGACATTAGTAACGAAAGTACCACACCGTGTCATTGTTTCATGGAATGCATGTTTTTAGAACCTGCTGAGATTCTTTTTTTTTGTAACAATTAAAATATTTCTTTTTGAAAAAGAGAATCACTTATCTTACTAGAAAGTCTGGCAGGGAGATTCCATGCTGGTCAGAATTATTAGGGTCAATCCTGGCAAGATTCACAAATGTGCCATCTTGGCATGATAAACAGTGATACCTCAAACACAGAACTTTCTGTGTGGAAACAGAAATGTCTTCATCAACACAGATTTTCATTGTATCAAGTGTTTATGATGTCCATTGTACCAAGTGTTTATAAGTGTCCATGAGTACTGTAGGAGTTTTTATGAATGTTTGGATATATTATATTTGTTTTGTCTGAAAATAGTTTTGAAATGGGTTTCACACTGAACTTCTGGCTTCAAAGATGATCAATGGTAGACATTTTTGCTTTTGCTGCAGTTACAGATCTTAGTAGTCCTGCCAAAACTGAGAATTAAAAAAAAAATCCATTATGTCCTTTTAAAATTGAAGAGCCTTTGTATAAAAATAAAATTTTATATGAATAAACATTTCCAATAACATGTTAGTATATAAAAATGTCTCTTGTGTTTTTAAATCTCATAGTCATCACTGTAGTTTAGTTTAACATCAGGTATTCCAATGCCACAACAACTTAACTTATTACATGATAAAGCATTGGAAAACGAGCCTGCTGTCATGGAACAGAGGCCAACGTTCTAAGTACCTTGCTATGGCACACTTATACATTTTCAAATCGGTAACTCTGGACATGGCTGCAGGAAAGTTTATGGTTTGAAATCAGGTTTCTCAGGCTGGAGAACTTTACCAGTCCTCTTGCCCAGCACCCGAACTGACTTGCCCTGGCCAGATTCAGGGCCTCACAGGTACTTTACCCTTACCTCTGCTCAAATTTCATGGAAGCTGTACCCACGCCTTTCCTAGCACTGCATCCATAAAGCTCACACATCTTCAGCTTTTTCATAAAATGATTACTCTCTTGGCCCATAAAAAAAGAAATTCTTTTGCCTAAAGTTTTTAGTTAGCCTTTAGGACTAAAGCACAGAACTGTTAGATTCTTAAGGCTTGGTTTTGTTAAAGTTTAGTTGCCTGGTTATCCAGAGTAACAAAAATAAATTTAAAATATCATTTTTTAAACCATTAAAAAACATAGCAACGGGCTGAGAGGGTGACCCAGCAGCTAAAAGCTCTTCCTGCTTTCTTAGAGGACCTGAGGTCAGTTCCCAGCATTCACACTGGCAGGCTCATAACCACCTGTCACCCTGTTACTCCAGCTCCAAGGAACCCAATGACCTCTGACCCAGAGCACTTAGCAGATGCTCACATAGACATACATACGAGCTTGTAAATTTAAGGTTTTGTTTTATTTTGTTAAAATTTTAAACAGCAAGTGCCACATAAAGAAATGGCCTCATCTGGTTGTGTGCTTTTAACTACTGTTAGCAGCCACTGTGGTTCGTTGTATTTGTAAGTTTTATTTCTGTTAATTATAAGACAATATAAATAGACTCATTCAGGTTTTCTTCCTTGAGTTGTGATACAGATAATGATTCAGAAGAATAATATATAGTCAGTTCTCCCTCATCAATCTGCCATAAAAAAAAAATAGAAGATTTTCATGGACCAGTCATTTCTCCCAGAAATAATCTCAACATTGTTAGTAAAATTCCCTAGAATAGTGGCATCTGAGTAAAAGTCACTTATTTTAAACGACTTTTTAAATCATTAATGTTAAACCAACAACATTTAAAAAAAGAAAAGAAAAATAACAAAAACACAAGAGCCAGGAATCCTTGTCTTTCAAATGCTGCCTCCTAGAGCCTTAACTAGGAGGTAGGTATTAGCATGGCCACTTAACAGAGGACAGGAAAAGAGAGGCCAGGGCCAGAACTCTCAGACAGGCCCAGAGGTTCTGATTCTACTCTACCAACCCACCTGGTGCCAGATGGACGTTGGCCACAAATTCTTTTGGGAAGTTGTGGCTCACTGATAACAGAACCTAATCTGGGATTCTCTAGAAACATGGAGAAGCATTCCCCAGAACTGAGAGTGGTGACCCTCTGGCCTTGTGCCTGGGTCACACTCCCCAGGCTAGCAACACTTCACTCTACTTCGACTGGGCTTCCAGAGAGCATTTGCTGACACCAGGCCATCCTCACACACTTTCAACTCAAAGAACACAGCAGGAGTCTTAGCAGGAGTTCCTCACAGATGCAGCTGAAACAATTCTTTTAAAATGTGGAAGATACCCTCTGCCCTGCTGTTTACACAACCCTGGAGCCCACAACACTCCCAGCTCCTCTACCTTGTGATCACGTGACACTTTTCACACTCATTATTTACTGGTCTGTCCATCCTGGCGTCAGTCATACTGGTTACCTTTGGGGTTTGTATCAAATATCAAGGCTGTTGTGAGAGCATCAGGAAATGGTCGCTAAAGAAAACTCCTCTGGTCGAGAGAAGGGAACTTGTAGCCTGAATAGAGAGAGTCTGCAGGTCTTGGTGAGTGCTGTCAATGGCCTTGATAAGACACTACCCTAGGAAGTGGGCTTACCATGGGCCATGCCTAGGAGCTAGGTGGCATAATTAGACCTTTAATGAGACACTGCATTAACCCTCCCAACACACCACCCCCTCCCACCCCCTCCCACACCCACCCACCCACCCACACAGCACAGTCCCCACAAGTCCAGAAACCATGAGGATCAGCAGAGGGTGCCCAAAGGAAATAATTTTTCCTTTATTTATTTATTTTTTCTGTCTCTCTCAGATGCAGGCCAGAACCTAAGCTTTCTTTTTCTGGTACTTTGGGCTTCCTTGCTCTTTCTCTAAATAACACTTTTCCCACTCCCATTCCTCCATTCTCCAACTCCAGCAAGCTGCTGAGATAGCTTGCCTGTCCTGGTTTTTGTTTGCTTGTTTGCTTGATTTTCTCTAATAAAAGAGTCCTCGAACTTCTGTTTCAGTCCATCATTAAATTATTTTATTAATGAGACCAAGAACCCAAAGGGTGAACCCTGATTTCCACAACATCACTACTGTTTAAAAAAAATGGAAGGTTCCTAAAGCCCACAGTGTTAGAGCGTGGCCCTCAGAGTGGTCCTGGTGGGAGGGGGTGGAATCTTTAAGAAGCCGGACTCTACAGTGTGATCCGACAGTCTGAAGGAGGACTCAGATCCTCATTTCTCCCTGTCTCTCTCTTCCTTTCCTGGCTCACCATATAAATGGTTTCCTCTCATGGCCCAGCTTCTTCGACTGGGTTGCAGCTCCACGTGGGCTCATGTAACCGCATGTCAAGAGTCTTGAAAAGTTAATAACTAATGAAAGGTTTCCAAAGTTTGATTTCCACGACCACACTGTGGTGTGTGCACAAGCAAGCATGTGTGTGTGTGTGTGTGTGTGTGCACATGTGCATAAATTTATAAATAATTTATAAATATTTATAAATACATTTATAAATAAATTTAACTATTGTTGTTCAAGTTGCTGGCTTGTTTTTAATATAATAAATTTTGGTGAGGGATTGGAAATTCTCAACAACTTCTGAAAAAGTCTTAAACATCCCTTATGTGAAGCAAAATTCTCTATATTGATAACTATAAAACAAAAATTGGTATCAAATTTGAAAAATCTTGACAGTGGTGTTCTGTGTCCTGGGGTGTCAAGAATTCAGTTAATCTTAACTGAGTTCTTGTAAAATAACAAGTAAAATAACAAAAGTAAAGTTGTTCTCACCTTTTATCACTGATAAAATTATTTGCACACCAAAGAATTTTTTAAAAAATAGATTGATTTTTGGTTTATTAAGAGTAAATGTTTTGTTTTGTTTGTATGTCTGTATTCCAGGAATCATATAACAATTTCTGGGGTGAACAGGAGCAGCCAGTGGACAACAATCCTGAAACCCTACTCTACATGAGGGCACCCTAGGACTTCCTAGCCAGAGGGCCTAAGCACTGAGACAGTATGATCTGAAACTGTAAGCTGAATAGACCTTTTTCTTTATAAGTCAACTGTCTCTGTTATTTTTTGCAGCAGTAAGTTGAAACTAATACAACAAATACTCCAGAAACACCTGTTCCCATCACCCTGGGTACCAAGGCTTGATGGTCATCCTCAATATGCCCCCAATGCTATTTCAATCCTCTCCCTTTCTCCACCTGAAATTATTTGTTCATTTTCTAGAGATTCTGCAGCACCTAGAGCAAAGCTTAGGAAGTGGTGAAATGGGCTAAACAAATCGCTCTTCCATGAATGAGCGGTTAAATTTCTAGGGAAAACTGAGACGTGATCAAAAAGGCCTTACACACTTTTCCTAAACACAAAAAGGTTAATCAATGAAAGTGGATGGCCAGCCACACTTTGATTTGGTTCTAAAGTCCTGGCTTCAGAGGCTGAAGAAATCGGAGACTCTACTGTCTCTGTGTCCCCTCTCAGAAACCAGCCCCCTGTGTAAGCAGAAGCCAGGCTGTTGGAGTCTTTCTTCCCTTCCCTCTGCCCTGGCACCTGGGCCTTGTAAAGGTTGCCATTTACTGGGTTTTGTCAGGTCCAAACAGAGTAAATATTTTCAGGACTTGAATGTAAGGGAGAGCTGAGAGAGAGCAAGGGAGTAAGTGGCACCTCTTTGGAGCAGCAGGCCAGGGGCCCATGTTGTCCTTGAGCCCAGAAATTAGTGCCACATGGCTAGGCACTGAAATCCTCTACAAATCGCTGACATTCAGGAAGTGAATCCGCAGTATGAGGTGCATTCTCCAGCATGTGACATCCTGCACACAGAGATGGGAGGGGACTGTGTATGTGGGGGAGCAGAAGGACAGGCAGGGAAAGATGGCATCAAGACCAGAGGAGGAACACAGATAGCTTGGTAGATGGTTATAATGAATAGCAAAACTTTTGCCTCCTAAAGTTCAAGTATGCAAAGAAAAAATTTCCCAAAGTGGGTGACTGTTGCATGCTAATTCCTGCAACAGAGGATGCTGGCAGCTATCTAAGCAGGAACACAGCAAGACTCCCCGAGGCTCAGACTCCAGTGTCTGTTCTCAAGCAGGGTGGTGGCAGCTGAGCACTGCGAGATTGTCTCCTCGGCCAACCATGGAGAATCTTAGGGCTTGCCCAGGCAGGCCCCACAAGGCACTTTTATTTTATGTCTAGCATGATTATAATCTAATTTGTTTTAGATTCTTGGAAACAGGCTATACTACAAGGTAGCCTCCTGGAAACTCAGGAGAACTTACATCCAAAAATTCTTGAGCAAATTGGATGTTAAAGAGCCAAATGTTTCAAAGCAACAAGCTGCTGCCCAGGGAAAGGGGAGCCATTTAGAAAATGGTTCAGATGTTTAGGAAAAATAGGGTCTTGGGCTTCTTGTCCTTGGTCTTTTGTGAGTTTTCCTGGACTCTCCTAAGATCTATCACCAAAGGTGTTACTATTTTGAAGAGACTCACTTGGGGTAGAGGTGGCCCTATCACACTCAGAGTCTTTTCTACATATGCCTGTAGCCCTGGAGCAGAAGGTCCTTCCCCAAGGTGAGATAGCTCAGCTGTTCAAGTTCAGTTCCCAGAACCCAACACACACACACACACACACACACACACACTCACTTTGCAGACACATGTTGCCACCACACCTATGGTGGCAATAGACCTCAGAACATGCAAAATGGCTTCCTGGGTAAGACAAGCATGGCCAACAACCTAACGGACACGTGTTTCAGAAATTCTGTCCCTCAGTTTCTGGCTTTCACCATTTTGTTTCTGTGGTGCTAACATATCTCTTGGTCCATCCCCAGGGTGTGCATTTCCGAGAACTGCCTTCCATAGGGTCATTTTCAGACAGAATCTGACAGGGTAGTTTTAGGACATGGAACTGTCAGTCCAAGATGGCCTGAGACCTGGTACTCACTGGTTGAGGTAGGGTGGCTAGACAGTATATGCCAGAGGCTCACCTCCTGCCTCCCAGTATCTCCATGTCGGATTCTACAGACACACCACCAGGACCAGCACCAGCATAGAAGCTGGAGATTGAACTCACACCCTGAGAGTGCTTAACACCATCTCTCCTGTCCCCAGAAAGTGCTGTTTGCTTGTTTGTTTAAGACATATTTCCATCATCTAAGAGTAGATTGAAAACCCAAACCAAATCTCTCAAAAAAAACACAGATTAATAGCTCTATTTCCCCACCCTAGACCTCTTAATTGTCCAGGCAAATAACTGAGGTCCCAGATGTCTGAACATAGAGTGTACTTGAGAAGAGAAGGCCCAGGAGGAGATATTTTTGGCAAGTACACTCTGAGCTTGGTTTCATGGCTTTCTTCTGAAGACACCTCACTTGATTGCAGATTCAATCAAATGTTAGGTTCTTCTGCGCCAGCAACCCAGCCCGGGCAGCTACTTGATTCTCGGGACAGCTTTCTCTTACTTCACACACAGCACATTTTAACCTCTTTCCTTTCTAGGAAAAAAAAACAAATTCAAAATAGAAAACTCTGAACAACAGAACTTTGTTTTAAAGTAAGAAAAATGGTATCACCTACCCGTGCCAAGAAGGGAAGAGACTGAAAACATGCCCAGCAGTATGGAATGTGGAACGTGGTCCCTTGTTCAGAACTGGCTCCCGAGGGATAGCAGTGTCATCAGCAAAGCACAGGGGTGATCTGATATCAAAGCAGGAACATCTGGTATATAATGCAGCCAGTTAGCCTCAAGATGGCCATGTATTCAGGTAAGTTAACACCTTTTAAGGGATCGAGCTTCTGCTCAGCCTTCTGGAAACCTACCGAGATGGGAAAATCATTTGATCAGCAAGGCATCTATTGTTGTTCTCCTTAAGATGGAAGATAACGACATGAAAGACTTAAGGAAAATACATTTCTGGTGAGACCTTTGTTCTTAGCAAAACCGTGTGGTTCCAGCTGGGAGAACCCTTCTCTGCTGAGACTACATAGTTCATGAGGAAGTGCAGAGCTCACACCACCCTGTTACCTGTGGTGTGGGGAGTAGATGGTCATTCCAGTGTGGACTACAGGACAAGAACAGATTTCCAAAAAGAGTCCATCTTGACCAACCTCACGATCAGATCAGGAAGACCAGATTAGATCAGTCTGCCTGCAAAGCTCTGCTCTACCCACCCAGCAACACAACTCATGGACAAAAGTTCGTTTAGCCAAGACAGCAAATGAGTTGAAACCTCTCCCAAGTCCTAGCTGTTGGAAGCAGTATATAGAGTTTGTAGGCCTACCAACTGAATTTAGACATTTTTTTAAAAGTTCTTGTTACTACTTGGCAGCATTTTTAAAATATTATATATGTTCTGACTTTCTAGGAAGAAAAAAAAAACCCTCATGTATCTAGCCAGAGTCTTGGATGCTGTAATCTAGGATTTGAAGGGAAATTGTTTCAAATGAACTTGTTTGAGTGAGTGCTGGGATTTTAGGCAGCAATAATGAACCCATCCTAAAGAGCTGATTTGCAAGAGAGGATTTATGAAAGTGTGTGTTGAAGGGGTTTCTCATTTGTTTCCCTCACTTGGCCATAAGCCTTTTGAGAGTGAGACCTTGATTCCAATAGTTTGCTTTATTTGTTTATTTATTTATTTTTGTTCCTGTTTGTCACTGCTTTTCTCTGGGAATCTGGAGTAGTGCTGAGTATTAAAACTGGTACTAAGCATTTAGTAAACACCTGCTGAATGAATGAATGAATGAATGAATGAATGAATGAATGAATGAATGAGTGAATATTAGAATCTGAGGTTTCTGTACCGTGTGATTGATTAGGTGAAACACTTCTCAGGAGCTCAGGCAGCCCCAGAGGGTTTTTTGGTAAAAAAAAAAAAAAAAATCATGGTGGTTTATTCCAGAGTGTGTCCTTTGGTGCCCTTTTAATGTCTGAGCTGTGTTTCTACAAGCTTCACTAGTCTTTTCCCTTTTAGACTTAAACAGTAAAACTAGTTTTTCACTGTTTCATGGCACATTCTTTACAGAAATGGAAGTGTGTCCTAATCCTTTGATTGTGCCAGCCACCTACTTTAGACAACAGACTAGGCAAGAGACCAAGAAGTCTTGATTCAGTTGATACAGAAAATTATCCCAGGCAAACATTCCCAGAGGCCAGAGAATCAGCCCACAGGAATTTCTGAAGCCCCTTCTGTTAGGATTTTGGAACCAAACCTGTTTCTGGGTTGCCTACTAACCTATGATGCCATCATGTGTTGCTCGACAGGTGGCTACACCTGGAAGGCGTGGTTACCTTGCCCCTTAAAGGGACAACCTGACACGGGGTCTCTCTCTTGCTCCCCTTCTCTTGGCCTCTCTTGGCCCTCTCCCCTTTCTCCGTCAGGGTCTCTCTCTCTCTCTCTTTACCCCCATCATGTCCTACTCTCCCTCTCTTCATTTTCACCTAATAAATCTCTTTCATATAAAAGATCTTCTGTATGTCTAATCATTATTATTTAATATGTCCCATAACCTTACACCTTCTGCTCATCCACAGGATAGAGAATCAGGCAGGGTGAAGTTTGATGAGGTGAAGCTACTGGGTCCATTTGGATTTCACTAGTCTAGGGTGCTTGCCTCACCTTCCCCCAGCTACCATGGTAAGTGCTACAGGGATGAGCTTTCTTAGTCAGTGCTGGCTTCTACTGATGTAAAAGCAAAGGAAACAGGAAACCAGTCACATATGGTCCTTCATTCCAAGCAAGATAGTAGCCAGAGCCAAAAGGGGTCCCATTCAAGGGAGCCTGGTCTCATAGAATCTCAGGAATGTACATATACCTGTTATGGTCTCTTATTAGACCTGAAATCAGCTGTCTGTCAGCTAGACAGACAATCAGATCTGCTTCCAATCCCACTAAATTACCAAAAGCGATGGGACTATTCAAGGACTAGCTGACTTGGGTGTCAATGCCTCAGTAAAGCCTAGTATGTTGGCAGACATTAAGTGGTGCTTTCTGGGGACATAGTGACCAGCTAGTCCTGCTTTGCCTGGCATTTCTCAGTTTTAATTGTAAATCTCTCAAGTCTCTGAACAGCCCAAGCTCAGGTCAAAATGAGAGAGTCAGTTCCTTTAAACAGAGTGACAGGCCGGGCTAAGCTAGGCTTCCCTTGGCAAAGCTGTGCGGTCACCCATCTGCTGTATAGACCCTGCAGACAGCCAGCAAGCAAGAGGCTTCCTAGCAAAACAATCACTATGATTTTAGAGTGCTTAACTTTTCCCTCTTAAATATCTGTCTGAATAATCAGTTAACACAAAACTAAAAGGTGAATAGAAAACAATTAAAATCAAATAAGAAAAAAGGCAAATGATTTCTGTGTCATAGGCTCATTGTCGTCATCCTTTTCTCAAAATTATTTGCCAAGTGACTTGCTTCAAATATACTGGTCAATACCAAAGAGACAAGGTGAGAGACCAATTATTTTGGTATACAGAGATAACAAAACAGAAAGAGAGAGAGAGAGAGAGAGAGAGAGAGAGAGAGAGAAGCAAATACCTTAGAGGGGAATAACTCAAATTATTCTCCCTGTCTTTCAAAAAGAAGAAAATAGATTTGTTCAAGCTGGTCCACCATTGGTTAATTCTGCTGTAAATTCACTTTGCACTTTTTAGAAGTTCCCCCAATGAACAGCAAAGAGAGAATGTCTCTGGAAAGAGGAGAATGCACAGCCTACAGTCCGAAGCATATTTAATATGCTGTTTTTACAGCAGCCGCTGGTTTCAAAGAACTTTAACCCCGTTGTGTAAATGCGTCACCAGGAACATACCCAGGTTGCCATGGCAACAACCTCAGTGCAAGGCCCTTTGCTCTGTTGAACGGGTGTCAGCTTTCAGCCTCCTTGCATTCCAGGCTGGCATCAACCCCAGGCTACAGCTCAGACTTCATTAGAGGCCCCATGAAGGACAGTGAAAGAATCCTGAACAATTCCGAGAACTATGAGGCGGCTCTCCATCAACACCTGAGGGCAGAGCTGAGAAAACACAGGGGAAGGATCATACCAAGCAAGGTTTCTCTGGCCTGTCCCCTGAAGAAACCGGGATGGACCCTAGCTAATTTTAGGCACATCCATTGTTTTAGCCGGAAGAGACAACATCTAATCTTGCAGGAAGAGCACTGCAAGTATCACATGGCCCACTCATGCTTCAGGTGCAAGACCAGCTCTTGAGTGCTGCTCAAAGGCTTGGGAAAATATTAGGGTCCTCAAAGAAAATGTGACAACAGGTTGGCTGAAGCCTGCAGTCAGGTAAACATTTCCTAACATATGATTTTAAACAATGATGTTTTCAAAGAGGTGGCCCAGAAAATAATCAGTTTAACAGAAAACTCTTGATAGTTATGTGGTTCTTGAAATGTACTGGGGAGAGGGGGACAAAGTGGACTGTTAGCTTGGCCAGCCACTGTAGACAGAATTTAGAATCAAATGTTTTGAAAAAGCTAGGTTCTAGATCTGCCGTGTACTCATGAGTTGTATTCATATTGGCCCTTATGCATTCTTAAAGTTCATCATAGGAAGGTTTGTTTGATAAAAGTTATGCATTTATTGTACAAGGAACTTTTCAGAATGGTCCTCGGTGAACTGGCCAGAAATCTGAAGCACAAAATAAATTCGGCCATCAGAGTGGAAAAGGAATATTCACAAAACAAAGCTCAGACACAACCAACCTTATGGGAAACAGAAACGGGCCTCTGTCAGGCTCAGAAATGTGTGCAAACCAAACCTGACGGGTGCAACAAGCTTGATAAACTGGTCAAAGGGGAGAGAAAAAGGCACGGCACCTTTCATTTGTTTTCCACATGTAGAAATCCTTATTCGCTCACTCAGTGTCTAGAGAGCACAGACCAGGCCACAACCCCCTCAAAGGGCCACAATGGTGGGTCACAGTTCGCTTCAATCCTGCCCTGGAACGCAGGCAATTTCCAGGTCCTCATTTGGCACAGGAATATGTAGTCTCATTTTGTGATAGTTTTCTCTCTGTGTTCCTACACTAACAAAATTCCTTGAGACAAGTTGTGTCGTTTTAAATAAAATCTCCTTTTAATGAAACTGCCTTCAGAAAGATTTCCTATGGCACCCAGGAACTGTGACTTGGCCACTTGTGACCCACTTTTTAATTATTGGATGTATGTTCTCTTTATGATCACTTTTTTTTTCTTTCCTAGATTCGGTCCAGAGAATCAGTATTTGGGGGACTTATTAAGAAAACTCAGTTATTGACATAACTACTACTAAAAATAAGGAGTTCCTAAAATCAGGCAGTGCTGCCTGGCTTGAAATGCTAATCAGATGTGCTAGTCTTCCTCTGCTCAAATACCGTGGTTACATGCTCACTGCCTCTGGAGACAGAGCAGACAGGGCTAATGCAGACAGAAACACTAGGCTGTTTGTTTGTTTGTTTGTTTGTTTGTTTGTTTGTTTTGTTGAATTGGCCTCCAGATTCCTGCCCTCTTGAGGTGATTTGGGGAGTCCCTAAAGAAGGAACGCTCTGGGAAATAGAGGATTCGAACAGGCCTTCCGGACCAAAGCTGGGGCATCTGAAGTGTCCCTAGGGCTGATGAGGGAACCTGCCTATAGGCCATGATGAACGTGAAGTCAATCCAGCCCAAGAAACAGAAAACTCATCCTAGTGGTGACTAAACAGAGAGGAACAGGGCCATTTTGGCAGATGACTATAGTGAGAGACACCCAAGGTGTTGGGTGGGAGACCACATAAGCAGAAGATTTTCATATAATCCTTGGCTGTCCTCTTAGCACAAAGAGCACACATCCTCAACTTTTCTTGTCTCCATCTAGCAGATACTGTAGTTACAAAAGGTCTTCTAGAGTACCATCAACCTGCAGTGTCATTTTCCTTGTTTCAGTTACCAGCAATCACAGCCTAAAACTACTATGTTGAGAAATTCTATAAACAATTGGTAAGTTCTACATTGTGTGATGAAATCGCAATCTTTGGGGTGTGAGCCATTCCTTTGTCCAGTGTATCAATGATGTATCTGCTACCCATCCATTGGTCACTTAGTATTCATCTTGGTTGTAAGATCAGCCGCTATAGTAACCAAATAACTCTATTTTGATTAATCTTAACCCCGAAGTCAAGAATGGTAATGCTGGCATTTGAGTATGCCAAAGAGAAGCAATAAGTAACTTTCTGTAAGGGAAAGGCCAAAGCTTATCCTACAGAGACATGAAGAGGGTTTGATGCCGATTGAAGTTTCAATTATTCTGCAGCTACTGGAACATACTCACCTATCCCTGAGCATTAGGCAGCAGCATGCTCTGCTCACAGTTCTCACTGCAAGGCTGGCCTTTCATTGTCCCAGCCTTCATCGTACTTGTCGCTCGGTTGCAAAGTGCGATTGTCAACATAAAGAAAATGTGTTTAAATTTCACAATGGTTGTTTTGAGAGCAATGAGACCAATGCCTGTCTGCATCAGAACATCCCACTGTGTTGACTTATCTCTGCTCATCTTCTCAAACTGCAACCTCATTTTACAAAGCTCTCACCCGCTCGGATCCAGCTCTTCTACGAAGCCCTTTCCAACCACACATTGAAGAATGCCTGCTCCGGAGTCCTGTGCTGTGATGTTTGATAACCCTCTTGTGTGATTATGAAAGTATTTGATGTAACGCTGTCTTCACCCCAGGGACTAAGACTCACACTGCCTGTAAATCCTTCTGAAACCCTGTCACACCCCACAGTCCCTGTGGAGTGTTCCTGACAAGAGACAAATATAATGTCTTTTCCCTCCACAACTGCTGGAACACTGAGGAGTGTTTGTCAATGGAATGGAAGGAACTTGTGAAAACAGCAAAGTACCAACTAGTACAAACATGGTCGGTCAGCCATGGGAGGAAAGAAACAGGTCATGTTATTTATACTCTGCTCAGACTGCATGTAGTAGAGCATCATGTAGAGAACTTATATACACCAATAACGACAGCAGAGATCTGGAGTCGTCTCTCCAGAGCTCTGTGCCTTGCACTCAAGAGTGTATGATAAGGTTTTGAAAATTGTATATCAAGGAGCTACATAATTTTAAAAGTAAAGATTGACCCTGCTTTTTCTAATACTCTGTTGTTTTCCTCTGTCTTGATTAAACATGATGAAAAATGCTATCCTTATTCAGACTCATCACAGAGTACTTTCAGGTTTAAAAAAGGAACCCCAGAAACAGAATGTTTATAAAGAAAGGGAATTCTAAAATCAAAACTGATATGAGTCGGGTGCGGTGTCACACGCCTGTAATCCCAGCACTCAGGGAGGCAGAGGCTTGGTCTTCGAAGCCAGTCCAGGATAGCCAAGGCTACACAGAGAAGCCCTGTCTGGAAAAACAAAAACAAGCAAACAAACAAAAAAAAACTGATATGAAGTTCAGTGTTTTAGAATGATATAGTTAAAAAAAGAAAGTCTGCTATGGTGTCCTGGCTAGACTAAATTTGGATCAATATTTTAAATCTTAAATGTCCAAATTGTTTTGCATTTCTAACACATAGAATAGTCTAGAGGGGGCTCAGTTTCCACCATCTGAGTATGAAATCAGATGAACTGTGAACACTTTATTTCAATGAAGGAACACACTCAGGGGAAAAAAAAAAAAAAACACTTTCCCTTAGGTATTTTATTTGCAATTAAAACAAAAATTATAATCAGACATACTAACAGTTGACGTCCTGAGCATAAAGTTTGCTAATGTTGATTGGTAACTTTTGTGCCCCAAACCTACTTTGCCCAGAGCGTATTTGCAGTTTCAATGTTTCCAGCTTTCAATGAAGTTTCCCGTTCTTTTTATAGAATATAACCTATATTCTATATAGATTATATATAGGTGCCATGAGCGCCTGTGTGTTCACAGACACGTGGGTCCTGAGAGAGCCTGTGTGTGTCAAACAACAAGGCTAAGATGGTCGCTGATCCGAAGGCTGGAACTTTCCCGTCTGTGACATCAACGTAAAGACTTTGTGGCCATCCCAGTCCACGACTCTGAGGCACAAATCTATGTGTTGATGCCCCTTGCTGCTGCACCGATGGAAGCTCGTGGTCATTTCGGCTGGCGCAGTTCTGTTATCCCTTTGCCTAAAACAACAAGTCTAAAGTTTCAGCAACAAAATTTTAGACAGATTTTCTGTCAAGAGCTCCAACCTCTCTTTCAACTCCAAGGAAGGTGTGTTGGTGCTGAAAAGATAGAGGCTGGGGCAGAGCCAGGTGGGTTTTATAAGGTTCTTGGAACAGCATCCAATAGCAGCTAACTCTGTAAACTAACGCTATACAATCTGCAGTCAGCTTTGAGGCACAGCACCAGTGTATTTTAGTTTCTTTGCTTAAAAAAAAAAGTGTCTCTTGGAAGTACTGTATTACCAATGTCCTTGTTAACATAGTTGATGCTATGGGAGAAATGCTAAGGACTTAGTCAAAAAAGTAACTGATAATCTAAATTTGAAAAACTTTAGCAGTAATTTGTTTCATTTTGCTCATGTTTCTCTTTCTATATATGCACGGTAATTCATACTACCCCCACACGTCTAAGGAAATTCAAATGAGATTTTTGTTAAATACAAAAAGAAAATTCCAAGTGCTAAGAAGCGTGGTGCCAGACTTCTACTGGCAGACCTCGCCTCTGCCTTGGCAGTGCTTGTTCTGAATCTGAAATGGTCCCACACAGGCTCATGCTTTGAATGCTTGGCCCTCATCTGCTGCTGTTCTTGTGGGAGGCCGTGGAACCTTCAGAAAGTGGGGCTTACATGAGCAGAAGTAGGCCACTGAGGGTTGGCCTTGGAAGGTAATAGCCCAGCCCAGTTTCTGCCATTCTTTCCCTTGCTTCCTCCTTGTTGGTGTGAGGAGCCTCAGCCGCACAAGCTCCCTTGGCAGTAGACCGATCTTCCCTACCATGCCTTCTGACATGAGCTGGACCCCTGAAACCAGCACTCTTTCCTCGAGCTGTTTCTGCAGGGACTGTGGCCACCATCACACACAAGTACCTGGTACTGTGATTCCTAAAGAAAAGCTCCGTTGTTCCAGTGCTAATGACTTTGTGTTGATGAATTTGGGGTATATAACAATTCAAAGGGCACCTGATATGAATGATATAAAATGTTAAACATTTATTATTATTTTTCTTGCTAGGAGGTTTCTGGATATTTAGTTATTTTTGCCCAGGATCTTTGTTTTCTAAATTGTCCACATGAAACACATTTTAACTTAACCTAATGGCTCCTTTCCATAGAACACAGACCATGAGTATGCTCTGATCATGTGACAAGAAGTTTGTGGACACAGCAGCCAAGCTCCAGTGACACGGGATGGGATTAAACGACACAGATGGGCAACTCTGAGCAAAGTACCTGGCACTCTATGCAGGGTACCAGGAGGACTGAAATCCAGTTACCCTCAGTAGCAGAAGGCTGAGCACATTGATGATGGAGACTCCTCATTCTCCTTCCCTCCTTCCCATAAAGGTTCCATTCTCTCTCTCTCTCTCTCTCTCTCTCTCTCTCTCTCTCTCTCTCCCCTCCTTCCTCCTACCCCTTTCCTGGAATCACTGTTCAAATAAACCACCTAAACAGAATCCTTGCTTTGGCTTCTGCTTTGGGGAGACCTAACATAAAAATATCAGGCTCTGCCTTTTGGTGAGAAGCTATGTAGGAACAAAGATGTGGCTCAGTTGGTAGAGTGCTTGCCTAACACACAGGAAACTCTGTGCATGGTGACACATATTGGGCCATCTCTCTAGTCCCAACTGCTGCATTCTTAAAGGGACACAACTTGGAGAAGCTGTAGTCATGCAGTGTATCCAGATGTTTTTGGTCAGCAGTCACATGTCATTAGAAATATCACGGAACATAAAGTTTCCATTGCCTGATGGTATCTGCCGTATTTTATTAGAGCACAATGCATTCTCACGGGTCCAAAGTGATGAAGGCATAAGAAAGCCTACTGAACTTCCAGCTGAATAAAAGTATAGCTTCTACCATCACGCACAGCCCAGAATCCAAATGATGAGAAGCAACTGCTATCGTCTTCTGTGTTTTATGGTTGCTTTAGAGTATATTTCTTGTGCCCATGAAAATACATGTTGGTCCATAGAAAAATACACCATGTTACTCCAGCAGGGGCCTCAGATGAGACTTAAAGTAGTGAAAACAGATAGACTATGGCACATGTGCAGAGGTTGTTGATGAGGAGTCAGCAAGACTGTCAGTTCAGAACAAGTAAGCAGCTAAGGTCTACACAGAAAAAAACAAACAAAAAACAAAAACAAACAAAACCTGTGTGGACCTGAGACAGGACAGCATGAAAGCCAGCACTGGATGTTCCATGACAACCATTGCTGGTGGTGAGGGCTCCTGTGAGTTTGGGGAAGAAAGACAGGACACAGATACACAACATAGAGTTACCTACTGTGTTCCTCTTCTAACACAGAGTCTGCTCTGGTGGGCTGGTCCAAAGTTCCCCACAAGAGACTAACAAATTATTGATCTTCAGGAGGGTTGAAAAAGAAAACCAGACTCATGATGGGGATGTGGGGTACACTCGTCTCAGGGACAGGAGGAGGAGGTGGCCTTAGCATGGGTTGGGAATCACTATGGGCCTCTATTGATGTATTGAAACAGAAAACAAATCACCATGGCTTCTCAACCAGGGTGCAGCATTAGTCAGCATTTTGTCAATGCTGCTTTGTCTGTGCTGTCCTTTGCTCCCCCCGACTCTCTCTACTCTTCCCCCTTACTTCTTTCTCTGGAGCTTTTGTTTTTTCCAACACAGATCTCAAAGGTTGTGTTATTTCACCTGATAATGCCTTAGAATGTTAGCATGCATTAGGACTCACAAGGGCATAGCCCCCGTGTCAGATTACCCGAAACAGTATTCACAGTCATTCCACAGCAAGTAACACTCAGCAGTGCCTGCATCCCCTGTTGTCTTTCACCTAAATCACCATCCATGTAAGAACCGCTGATTGCTTTTGTGTTAGGTTTCTTACAATCCTTTCATTCGACTCAGCCCCTCTCATTTTTTCAGACCACTGATTTGTTGGTGAAACAGTCCGTTTTCCCTGTAGAACCCGATATCCTTGCCATAAATCTCTGTTCTGCTTCAATCAGCCAGGATGGACTTCTCAAGATTACGACTAAGCATTTCGACAGAAAGACAAGCCTTCAAGCCTAGCAGTTTCGCAGAGAAGGAAATTGAGGTTCAAAGGGGTTAAGAAATGTGTAAAGTTTTCAAAGCTGCTAGTATCACAGCTGGAGCTGAAATTGAACTCCCTGTCTCTGTGGCTCCTCTTTCTTTCTCTCCTCTTTTTTTTTCTGTCCTCTCTTTTCTCTCTCCTCTCACCTCTCCTCCTCCATCTATATACTGAAATCATCCTAGCCCCCCTTTCTCTCTCTATTCTCCCTCTCTCCTTCCCTCCCCCTCTTTCTGTCCTCTCCTCCCTCGCCTCTCCCCCACTCTATATACTGAATCCGTCAGACTCTACTTGGACCCTTCCACTCTCTCCTCTCTCCCTCCCCTTTTTTCCTCTCCCCCTCCTCTTTTCTCCTCCCTCTCCCTCCTCACCTCTCTTCCCCCATCTCTATGCTGAGGTCACCAGGCTTCTCCTAGCCCCTTTCCATGGTTCCAAGTTCATTTTAGCAGTGGTAATGCCAGGTTGAGAGCAGCTGGGCCCTCACTGCCAGCAGTTGCCTCTGCTCAACTCAGGTTCACCCTGAAACCTCCAGCAGAGAACAGGAAAGCAGGCTAGTGAGTATGGGCTTTGCTGCAGCTTGTTGCGGTCCCTGCCGGAACACGGGCTCAGATGTGGGAACACATGAGTATGTCTCATTCATATGTCTTTATCGGAGTGCAGCCCAGACAAGCCCTAGCACCTAGGAGCTTGCTAGAAGTCACCTTAGCCTTACTGAGTCAGACAGTCTAGCGGTGGAGCTGGAGGTTCCGGCCAGGCTCCTCCATGATGCTCATGCCTGCCTCAGTCTGAAAATGTACATTGCTGCCAATTCCTAGGAACATAAAATCTCTAAACCCAAGTCCTGTCTCAAAGGACCCTGACGCTGCACGTTCAGTGCTCGTCCTCAACAGCTGTCCTTCACCTGCCCTTAAGTTTACCTGCCGACTTCCACATTTAGGGAAATAGCATTCCTTCCTGATGTCATAATCTAATCTCTTTTTCCTCTGTACGGTTTCAGTGCTAGCATCAGAACACTTGGATTTCAGGCAAATGGCTCAAAATGACCCTCAAATCTACAGAAACTCCTTGAAGGTAGGGCTTACTAAAGAGCCTGATAAAGCTTCTCTCCCTGGCCTGGTCCTCAGTTTCTGTCATCCTCGCAGGCTGATGGGATCTGAGAAGAGCACACGGAAATTTTTTAAGGCACTGTGAGCTAAATAGGGATGTGACTGCCAAGCAGGAAGAAGGCTGCAACGTTTGTAAAAATCCTCAATCTTGTGTGGTTTCTTCACACTCTGTGAAGCCCTATCTACTCTGAGTCACCACATCCTTGCCTCTTTACAGATAGCATTCTGCCAAAATTCTCATGGGGATTCACACAATCTCTCCCGTGGTGAGTAAGGGTGAACCCTCAGCTCGTTGTGCCCGCTAGCCTCTGTCGTCACACACACACACACACACAGCTGGGCAGTATCTGTCGGGTCTTCCTTAGGGTATCACTGATATCAGACTTGAGTGGGCCCAGACTGTCTGCTCCTTGATGGCCTACCCTCAGTGTGTTCTTGGCTCTGTGCTCAGCCCCATTTTTGCAGCCACATTGGAAGGCCTCTGGGGACACACAGGAAAACGTCAGGGCCATTCTTTGAAAGACACCATCTGTTCCTCCTCTCCCATACCTTCCTGTGCAGAGCGACACCCGTGAGTTGTTTTACACTTCTCCTCTTGGCTGTTCGGATTCCTCCCTCTAAGTTTCCCACTAACAAGAAGGGAGCAGATCGGTTACATTATGTCATATAGCAGCTATGTGGCACGCACACACAAGCGAGCACACACAGAGGCTCCCCTCCCCCCTGCACTTTCCCTTCAAAAAGTTAATGAAACTAACCCCACTACCATAGATTTGACATGGTGGAAACATTGGACATTTCTGGGAAGGGTCTATCCCATAATGTTTGGACTTAGCATTGGGAGTTTGTGTCCGACCACATCTTATCCACGACATTGCTCCACTTCATTAAGTGGAAAGGAACTGTATCTCCGGAGTTACAAAAACAAGCTGTTCTTTAACAGAGGTGGTTATCTGAGCCCAGGCCCTCCTTCCTGGAGCCTGAGGAGGCAGGCTAGCGAGAGGCTGCGGTCTTACAAAGTGAGCAAGCCGTAATGCGTGTGCCAAGGTGCCTGGCCTCGGAGAACAATAAAAGGAACTCTCTTATCCCCACCTTTGCTGGCTTTCTCCACTTCTTTTAGGGCTGTCATGGGCTCTTAACATGATATAAGGGAGGCGCCCGGGGATCGTTTGCTTCTCTTGGCATGGGAACAGTGAAAGTCTCTGTTTGCCATCAATCTTCCCTCTCTCCCTCACTCCTTCTCACCAGGCTCCAGAGTGAAAAACGAGAACGCTCCAATCTCACATACTAAACCATAACTAATTATTATTAGATCAGCTTTCACTTTCTCCCAACCCAAATGTCAAAAGCACAAGTCTTAATTTACTGGTTCCAGTAGGCCTTCAGCCAGGGTGGAAAGTTGATGAGACGCTCCCAGAGATGACCAGGTTTAACTGGCTACGTGAGGGTGCCAGGGACATGGCTCAGAGGTGAGGAGCACTGATTGCACCTCTAGAAGATCCAGCATGGATTCCCAGCACTTACACAGTGGCTCATACCCATCTGTGACTCCAGTTCCAGGAGATTCCACACCCCCTTCTGGCCTGCCGGGGTACTGCATGCAAGTGGTATATGCATTCACAAGGCTGGCAAAACACACACACATCAAGTAAATAAATAAGTCTTTATTAAAAAAGATATCCAATAGGCGGATGCCCACTAAAATCACAATGTTCTATTTCATGCTTACCAAAGTGAACAAAGCTGTCATGAGGGGGCAAACGCCAAGAAAGAGAGTGCTGCCTGCCACTTTAGAGACTTGTATGCCATTATCTGGTCAATGTAAAAAAGAAAAAGAAATTTTACAATGACCTCAGTTCTTGTGACTGGAGATTATTTGTGAAGCTCTGAGGCACCACAATGTGGAAATCACACTAGAACATTAACGCCGGCAGCAATGCTTCCCAGACCATCTGGCAAGACCGTCCTGAACACATCCAACAAAATTCATTAAATCCATGGCTTTGAGTTAGGCATCCCCATTTCACAGCTGAGAAACTTCAGGTCTGGATGTTTGGTTAACTTATACAAGTCAAGTATAAAAAAAAAAATGACTTAACTCCAGGTAGCTATCCCCAAAGGCTACAGGGTGTTTGTTTGTTTTGTGGTTGCTGTTAAAGTAAGTTCTCCCCATGTACCCTGGCAGGTGTAGAATTTGAGATCCTCCTACCTAGCCTCTGAAGTGATGGGATTACAGACATTCACCACTAGGCCTGCCCAAGGCTACATGGCTGGTCA